TCAATGTTATATGTCTCGGTTGCACAGTAAACATGTGATTGTATATAATGAAATGGAAATAAAAAAGATTTGTACAGATATTTTACCTGGGGTGAAGCTCCCAAAACCCCAAATATATTCAATGACCCCTAGAGAAATGGAGGAAATGAGAAAATTCATTTGATAAAAACTTGGAAAGGGGCTTCATTGAACCAGCACAGCCCAAGGTAGCTGCGCCAGTGTTGTTCAGAGAAAAGAAAGATGACTTCTTCAGATTATGTATTAATTTCAAAAATTTAAACTGCATATCTGCCCAGAACCTCTGCCCTTTACCACTGATGAAGGACATGCTGGCCCAACTAGGGAAGGGAAGGATTTTCACTAAATTGGACCTACGGAAAGCATACTATTGGGTCAGAATTAAAGAGGGGGACGAATGGAAAACTGCTTTCAACTGCTCCCTTGGTTGCTTCCAATTTTGAGTCATGCCGTTTGGCTTCCAGGGGGCGCCGGCAGTCTTCATGCAACTGATTAATGAGGTTTTGCATGACCATCTTTACAAAGGCATAATGGTCTATTTAGACGATATCCTTATTTACACAGAGACACGTGAAGAACATGTGAAACTTGTTCACATGGTTCTGAAGAAACTCCGGGCCGAACTTTATGCCAAATTGTCCAAGTGTGAATTTTATCAGGAAAGCGTTGATTACCTCGGCTATCAAATCTCCCACAAGGGGATAGAAATGGACCCCGCTAAGGTCAAGGCTGTCACTGAATGGGAGGCCCCACGTACACGTAAGCAATTACAGAGGTTTGGGGGATTTGCTAATTTCTATTGTCAGTTTATTCCCTCGTTCGCTAAGATAGCTCTCCCTATAACTAACTCCTTAAATCAAAAGGGGGATCTAAGCCCAAATCTAGCAAACCATTGGACTGGACTATGGAGTGTCAAGCTGCTTTCGAAAAGCTGAAACGCCTCTTTGCGGAGGAACCGGTCCTGAAGCACTCTGACATGGACGCACCTTTTGTGGTCCAGGCTGACGCCAGTGATGTGGCGGTGGGGGCGATACTGCTTCAAGCAAGCCAAGGTAAATTACAACCCTGCACTTACACCTCTCGCAAACTGACCAACATGGAAAGACGTTGGGCTATTTGGGAGAAGGAGGCTTTTGCTGTCTGTTGGGCTTTAACAACCTGGTGCCATTTTCTAGAGGGCACCAAACACTCTTTTGAAGTGTGGACTGACCATAAAAATTTGGAGGCGTTGAGAACCCCCCAAAACCTTTTTCCCAAACAGATGCGCTGGGCTCAACATTTCAATAGATTCAATTTTACTTTGAAATACATTCCGGGGAGGGGGGAATTTTATGGCTGATGCTTTGTCCAGACTTCCACAGTACAACTGTTCTAAGCTCAGTGTTGTCCAACCTGTCATTCCCACAAAAAGGGGATGCTCCTGTTGTCACTAGAAGTCAAACAACTTCTAAATTAGAGGTCACAAAAGACTTTATCTCTGACCTAAAGGAGGCCCTTGCAAAGGATGACTGGTTCCAACAACACATGGATGAGTGCACTATAAAACATGGATTGGCTTGGATTGGAGCAAAATTATACGTCCCTGTGCCCATTAGGACCATCGTACTCCAACGGGCTCATGACTCTCGCGTGGCTGGACACTTTGGTTTCATTAAGACTCTGCATCTTATTAAGAGGCAATTTTGGTGGCCTTCATTGAAAAAAGACATTGAGACTTATGTAGCTAGTTGTCCTGTTTGTGCTGCAGCGAAACACCCTCCGGGAAAACCCCAGGGATTGCTCCAGGTGGTAGCTCACCCAGAAGCCCTGTGGAAGGAGATCTCTATGGATTT